AACTGACTTCTTCTCACTCACTCATTTCTGTCTTTTTTTGTGGTGAGCTACAGTGTCATTGACACTTTCATTATTATGGCCCTAACGAGGCACTGTGGCTTTTCTGTCAGGATTCGCAGGTCAGCGATCGCCGCTCTCGCACCGTTTCTCACGTACGCCCTCCTGCACCCTGCCGCGCCTTCCGACATACAGCCGCTCACTCGAGAACTGCAGCTCTGTCTGCTGCAGATACACGACGACGAGGCGGTGACGCGAGACGCCGTCGAGTTTGTGCTGCGGCTGACGCCATGGCTGCAGGTGAGCAGTAGTCTTTTTTTGTGAAAAAGCGGTGACCGGCAGTCTTGGGGAGGAGGGGTCCGAGGTTAGGCAGCACTACAGGAAACTCGTGATAGTGAGCGCGGTGGTAAAGGCGTGTTCACGAGAGGAGAATCGGCAGGAAACTGTTCCTCCCGAATTTCACGACGGCACTGACTGTTGCCCTTATTACTTGCTGTGGTGCACCTGAAGATCTGGTGATATTGATAGAGTAACCCACCGTGGCTGCACTTATCTGCGTTGTCTCATGTCTGTCCAAAAAAGTTTACATTGTGCTTCTAATGGCAAATTCCATGCTGTTTGCACCCATCTGTCTTCGCCTTGCATAAAATAGTGTTGTTTAAAACTAAGTGGCTTTGATAACCGTTCTTTCAAAGAAATGTTTGCTTTTGTGCCCTAAAATCTCTGATTAAACTAAAGGTACGACTTGCATTGCAAAGTAAAATTTATTGATTTTACTGACATCCTTTTGATTCCCATCACGGTAAATTTAGCCAACTGGGTGCTTGATATCTAATACACTATAAAGTATTGATCGCTTGATACGAATTTGAGCTGAATTCACGACAGTAGGCATTTATATATTTTTCTGCAGACAGGCAGTCCTGCTACCTGTTGGAACGTGAAGTATTTGTTGGTAGACGTCGGCCGTCTGCTCACGACATTGCCACGTGACGTCTGCTCTGATTTCTCGTCACGTCTGATGCTTGACATGCTGTCACATGCCCTGTGCATGCGTGCGCAGGGACTACAGTCATCGACCCTGTTGTTACGGGCCGCAACCCTGGCTCGCACACACGTAGACGTATGTCATATTAGTTATTAATCACACTAACATTCTAACTCACAGCGATTGTCCATTGTGACTGATTATGTTTTATAGTCTAGCTCGCACACATGTAGACTTGTGTCGCATTAGATATTTTTTACACAAACATTTTAATACACAATGTTTGCCCACTATGACTGATTATGTTTTATAGCATGGCTTACTCCCATATAGATTTGTAACATAATTTGTGTGTGTGGGTACTCCTTACCGTGTTATGTTAATTATTGTCCTTATGTGGTTATATTCAGTAAACATGGTCACCCAAGCTATTTGCTAACTCATCTGCCTTAAGATTTGCCGTGCTACAAGAGTATTTTCTCATTTTATTATTGTCAGGAGCAAGCTGTGGATATATTGCTGATGCTGTTAGCACTACTACTGCAGTCGTGCACGGTGACATGTCTAGCAAGCTTGCTAGATATCGGTGGGTATTAGCATGTGTAGTAGAAAGGTGACTTAAAATTATTTACTTTAATATGCATAGTTATGTGCTTTCATGCCACTTCTCATGCCTGTTCAGGAGATTGACCATCACATGGGTGTGCCAATAAAATGGACATGCTTTCTGTGTTTACAACTATGTATGTATGCGTGTGTGCAGTGTCCATGCATGCGCGTGTGTCTGTCTATCTGCATCGATATCTTAATCCATATCTTCATTGTTTTCGTATGTTATTTATAGTTTCGGCAAATATCAGAAAGCTCTCTCTCTCTCTCTCTCTCTCTCTCTCTCTCTCTCTCTCTCGTCTTCTGCTCATCTGCTCTGCCTCTCTCTCTCTCTCTCTCTCGTTCTCTCACTTCTGCTCGTCTGGTCTTCGACCACCATCGTCAGACTCTCACTCCTCTCATTCTCTCCTTTTGCATCTCTTTTTCACCTCTCCTCGTGTATCTCTCACGGAATCGGCTCTTCTCTCATCTCCATCATCCTCTCACTCCATCTCTCTTATTTCGTCTCCTCCGTCGGATATAGAAATCGTCAGGGAAGAGTTGCGGACCATCGCTCTTCTCTCTCTCCTCTCGGTTCTCCTTCCTCTCTCTCTCGCCCTCTATTTGCTTTTCCTCTGCTTCTCCTCTCTGTTCTCCCTCCTGCTCTTCGGATTGCGTTATGCCTCCAACTAGTGTTCGAAATAAATTATAAATTGAGGCAAGCTTTCTAGTATTAGCTTGAACACACAGCGTCAGCAGCCTATCTTTGCTATCGAGGTTACTACATGTCATGAGTATAGTATGCAGCGTGTGTGTGTATGACTTGCAGGTATTTCGCTGCTTGGTGCGGCCCAGGCTCGTTCTCGACACGTGTGCGCTGGCTTGCTCGCGATGCCGCTGCAGCAGGTGCTCATGGTAACCGAAACGTCGTCACTCTGCCACGTCCGCGAGAACCACGCCGCGGCATCGAAACTCATGCAGCTCGTCGAAAATGCCATCTACACGCAGGCTACGTCCACGGTGAGCCTAATCGGTTGCCTTTCTCTTTCTAAAGTCAATGATGTCTTGTCTCGATTTAATGTTCCTTTGCTGTTTCAAGTTTTTGGTTTAAGTATAGGAACCGTGACATTTTTGTTAGAAAGCATTTCAGAGTAATGATATTGCCATGCCATGAATCACCATAAGTGAGCAGGGGTAGAAATTAACTTTTGAACAAGAGAGTCCGTTGGACTCCCTGCCCTCAAAAAGAGGGAGTCCGCAGCAATATGAGGAAGTCCGCAGCCTGAAGTTCAAAACTAAAGATATTAACAATAATGCGTGTGCTTATTTTGAAGATTCATGCGGTTGCACGTCTGCCAAATTGTCTTTGGACATTTGCTAAAAAAATACGGTAATTCTGCGAGGCCGTGCTCTGGAATGAACTAGTTACTTTGGCAGAATTTTCAGGGAGTCACACGAACTCCTGCATATGTCAAATCAGGGAGTCCGACAGTAAATCAGGGAGTATTTGACTCCGGACTCCCGTTAATTTCGCACCCTGAGTGAGTGTTTAACTGGACCTATGCCCCTTCGCATAGACCCCAGGTGGCTATAGTCAATCGTTATTGTAATGGGACTTCCTGAACAGATGATGCTTGTCAGTGAAGTGCCGCATAGGTAAAATATTGGTGTGCAACCATGAAAAACACGTATATACTGATCTAACTTGACCTACATAACAACAATATCTAAGGGGGGCATGGTTGTCTCGCTCAGATAAATATGTCAAGTGGTACTTGACATGATGGAGTGGATACATGAATTAGACCTCCAGATTGATTTCGGTAAACCAAACCAGTTCCATATGGCTCTCAGCTTGCTCATCTATGCAGCGTCACCTTCATTTGCTGACACCCAAGTGTGCTTTTCTAGATGAAGCGACAACAGTCTGACAGCATCCTCTACCGTCGTCTTCCATCGTCGCTGCACTCGCTCTACCTCCTTGTTCTACGGCTGCAGGACAGCGACTACTGCGCCACCTGGTTGAACAGTGTCGTTCTCTGTGACTGCCTAGCTGTGGAGGGCCTCCTACTGATAGCCTCCGTGTTGACTACTGCACAGGGTGACGTCCTACTAATGGACATTGCCCTGCAAGCTGCAGCTGAATTGAGCAGACAGCATCCTCAGCAGGTAACACTATGAACTGAAATATACGGATAAAACACGAGCTAATCGCGGATGCAATGGTGCAAAACGCATGCAGAGCCACTGACTATTCCGGAGCTAATTACAGTCTGTAGTAAAATACACGGACTCTTACGTACTAACCACGGACTGCTTACGGACTGCCAACGAAAAACTGTCTAATCTCGAGAGTCCGTGGATACTACTTACATAGTATGTGTTTTTCCCAGCCAGAGTGGCGCCCACACACCAGCAGCGGGAGCTATTGTCAGCTTAATTGGCAGTCTGTATGCAGTCCATGGTTAGTACGTAAGAGTCTGTGTATTTTGCTATGAACTGTAATTGACTCCGGAATAGTCAGTGGGTCTCCGCGCGTTTTGCACCATTTACGTGCTAAGTTTGTGTTTTATCCGTGTATCTCAGTTCATAGTATAAACAGAGCAGTGCAGGAATGCTGTGGCAATAAGCCAGTAACCTTTTAAGAGTGTCTGTATTTTATGATAATTCAATGTAACTTACCTGTTAGAACCACTAATGGGTTATAGTTACATGGATTTATCATAAAATGTAATTACTCTTAACATTATCATGAAATGCGATGAACCTCTTTCAAGAAACACAATATGGTCTAATGATACCTCCGTGGCATCACTATAAAACCAGAATGTGTGGAAATGGTTTAGATTTAAAAAGAAAAATTAGTATGGCGTCTATGTAACATTGATTTAAGTTCTGCTTTAGTATTAGGAAGCTGTTGGTTCATAGGCTTCCTGAGGTATTTTCTAAGTAGTCAAGGTTTTCCCAAATCATTTCTATAAAAAATCCAAAATATTCTGAGTAGTCAAGCTGTTACTAAAATCGGACGTGTTCTTATCGTTGGCAATTGTTGTTTCATAATTTAGGCTGTTGGCATGTTTTGCCTACTGCTTCACATACTTGGTCGTGAGAGAGACCCACATATCTGCCACCAGATTCTGCTAACTATTCCGGAACTGGCTGTTCATAAGGTATGGGTAATATCTGGTTCTGGTTCTTCTTACATAATAAATTGCAGTAGCTAGATGATCCTATCAACACTATTGTACAAACAAATTTGGTGCAATTATTGCTGGACAAATTTCAACACGAAGGTCAAATGATCTATATGTACGTCATTAAAGAAAAGTTCTAATGGACTCGAGTATGTCAGTTTTTTGTGCACGGTATCTTTGAAAGAAGCATGTAATGTGTAGTGATGCCTCGGATGCATTTCTAATGAGGTAGACGTGTGTGTCGCCTGTGCTCAAGACATTGCGAGCCCTAACCACTAAGCCAGGAGTTAACACGACAGCCATCCATCTGCTGACTCTACTGTGGATGAGGCAGGAGCGTACCTATCCTCATCTCGCAAAGGTATCTTTACAAAACACATTTATGTCATCGCGTATGTGTAATCATGTCAGAACGATATCATTTTTAAGTGATCCATATGTGACGTATACTTTATGTTGAATTCGTTATTTTGAAATTAACATATATGTTCTGTTATATTTCCAAATTATTAATTAATTGATTGTCAGTTTTACGGCTTGTTATTAATGTGTGCATATGTGCATCCAGAAGTTGTCGCACAATACACTCGATGAAAACATTAACACGGGTACAAAGGAGAGAAACCTAAATTGAGACATGACTGCATTGTGTGCACTTTTCACAAAGGTACTTCTGGACGTTCAGATATGTGCTGACGACCCACTATTTTGGGCAATAATGGCCGCCGTGAGAACTATATGCCGAGAGAAGTATGTTCATCTGTCTCGTCAGCATGTTAAGATTAACACGTATATTGCAAATTTAGGATTCCCGCTGGTAATCTTTATTAGATATATATATGTAGTAAATTGGAAGGCTCATTGTAGATTCGTTGGAAATGTTATAGGATTGTCGTAATTTTAAGATCTATATTTTACGGTGTTGCAGTCCGCTATTTTATACTCAGTCTTTGTAATGCACACTTGAACATATTTGCATGTAACTTGCACTGTATAAATCAATAAATATTATTAATATTTATTATTGCACATGTAGAAATCTGACAACTGCACATTCTTCACGTTAATTGTAATAGTCGACCCTGCTGTTGTCCGTGGTGAACGCTAATCTAGCTGCCCATGTACAAACAGTAACTATACCAATGTCTAAATGCTATTGCACCTCGGCCATGCCTAGTCACACACACACCAACAGGTTGAACTAGTGCGATTATGAATGTGAATGATGGCAGGTGGAAAACATCATAATGTGTGTCACAAGCATGGCATTCTTATGGAGTTTAATTTAGGTACCACTTCAGTTAATGTACATGTAAAAACTGGTAGCTGTAGTTATCACTACGTTCAATCACTGGTACATGTCATTATGACTACATTTAATTATCTTTAGATTTGGTCATCACTACATTTATTCGTAACTCCTCTAACATGTTGATCATGGTGTCACATGTAAGCGTTTCTCTGTGTTTCAGGCCGTATCAGCGTGGAACTGCGCTGGTGCCTCTCATCTATCGAGTGTTAACCTCATGTGCAGACAAGGCGGTCACCCTGCCTTCTGTGCTGGGACTGCAATCTCTTGCTGCTCTTTGTGAAGCAGAGGCAAGTTCGTGACAGAATTTTGTGGTTTTGATTGGCAAGCCTTTATTATGAGATTCTCATCTGTGGGCATGGTAGTTGCTTAGGTACTTGATGTTTTGATACTCATGTCCAGTTTTCACCTTCTAGTAGAGTGTAGTACTGGAGACGATAATAATCTTCAGACGAGACACAGAAGTTTGCTCGTCTGGCATGTCTGTCTCTCATCTCCAGCTGAAGTAGTCCATCACGTTGCTAAAATTAATGAAATTGCATTCTCCACTGGTGAATAACATGTCTGGGAGACAGTTTGGCTTGCTTCACGGCTTTGCTTTGGTAAAATTTACTTGTACGTGCTTGCTAGGTTCTCGACATTAGGAGCACGTGGTTGGCCCTGGAACCGATATTTACTACTGAACAGAGGTGAGAGATGAGGATACACTTTATTTTATACACTATGAACAATCAGTCACTTCCATTTCGTATAATGTGCCATTCTAGGTTTACTGATGTTCAGAAAATGCAATAAGAATATCGTTTGAAATGCACGAAGCATGTCTGTGTTGTAACTTCTGCTCGTAATTTACAAAAATGGCTAACATCTTTCATTATTCTGTTCCCAAGGCCTTCGGTAGTGAGTGGAATCTGTCAACTACTTGCTATTGTTCCATCTTTAGCTGTGCAGAGCACAGAGTATGAGGTATGTGAGTAAGAGTGAAGCATCTGATCTATTAGTGTTTAAGGCTCATTAGTGAAGATGAGAAGTTGGGAAATTCGACATATCATTTTCCATGCATAGTGAGTTTTTTCCCTGTGTCTAAGCAAGTTGCTTTGCAAGATTCAACCAAGCTTAGCTACCTGTCGACAGGCCATGTCTCCCCTCCAGGAGTGTATGTTTGACTGTGTGTGTCTGTGCGTGCGTTTATGTGCATGCATGGTAATGACCTCTGTCTATCTGTTTGGTTGGAACCCTGGTTGTTATCATGGCATATCTGTTCTAGCTGATTAGATAGATTCAAGTAGATCCTATATTGCTGCACACGAAATCACCTAATAGGGGATCTACTTAGATGATAGGTTGCAATTTTTACGACTTATTTGACTATCATTGCTATCAAGTGATCACGACCATACGATGAGAACAAGCATGGCCGTGGAATGCATTAAACAATTACAGAGGACATAATAACGCTTCATAACCAGTGATTAACAATGCATATCTGTTGCGGCCATGATTGCGTTTGCAGGCATTCAACGAAAAAGTGATGAATACCCTGTGGCAGATCGTCCAAGGTCATAAAGACACGGATACATGTCGTGCTGCCCTACTGGCACTGTCAGGCTTTAACCCAGCAAACTTCTGCATCAGACACTTGCCGGCAGAGGTAGGCTAGTTTTTAAATTCACAGGAAGATTAATCGCCCTCGTGCACAATCTACGTAAACGTATTAAACATTCTGCGAGCTGTGAGTTTTTTTTTTTTTAGCTGACTTGCATACTCGTTTTTGGTTGATTGACAATCTAGCAAGAAGAAATTTCAACAAACAAATGATCTTCTTTTGCATTGAGGTTTAAACACTGCAGCTTGTGACATTGTTATTTTGTAATGGCATCATGCCCTATATAATGAAAAAATTCTTGTGGTGAATGTTAATCAATAACTGTAGGAAAACTTATTAAATCTGAGTTGTACTAATTAAATCTGAAGTCCTCTGAATATTATATATTATCTACTCAATATTTCAGGTTAAACTCACATAATTCACCATTACTGTAGTCGTAACGTAAATCTTGGCAGCATATGTTACATATTAAACAGACGTGCTCCATGTATGCGTGCGTGTACAAGGCAGGTGCGAGAGCAGAGCCAACATTCCAGGGATGCATTAAATAGTTGCCTAACTGTCGGCACTCTAAGAATCATTGGTCATTCATCAATATAGGCATATCCCTAAAGTAGCTTGTACGCTAGTATTTATAGTTGTGAGGAGGCAAGGGAGTTATGTAACATCATGGAAAAAATGAACCACGTTATTGTAGCGATGCAAATTCATTCAAGTGAAAGTTAATTTCGGACGCTAAGATCAGAACCTCTTCGAAGATTGCCCTAATGCACTTAGAATAATTGATACTAGAAGCCAACTGGTATTGTTAACTTTTGAGAAGACCTATGGTGTTATTAGCTTTAGAGGGCCGTTGGAGTCATTAGTTCTAGAGAGCATTCATAAGAGATGTGACCAACATAATTAGCCAGTAGCAACTCCAAGGGATAGTGAAACGCATGCAGACATGATGCAACCGGGATTATTGGCAGCCAGCCAGTGGCGAGGAGAATGAGTTCCATAATGTCGCAAGAGTGACCATGATCACGTGACCAATCAATGTCCGAAAACCTAACCAATAGGACATACGTGAGAGGGCCAGCATGTGAGGGAGAACACGTGTCCACTGAAAAGCCATGCCCGAGATATATATAAGGTAGAGGCAGGGAGAGGCCAAGGAGGGATGTATGGAAGAGAGGTTGGAGAGGTGAGAGTGAGTAGAGAATACGACTGACGATTTGTAACTGTGCTGTGCAAGAATAAAAGAACATTCTCCTGTGACGGCCTGCTATTCGCCTCATACAGAGAGTGTCGTTTTTCCTCGTTACAATATCAAGGGTTAAATGTCTTGTTAACATTTCTACGTGCAACCTGTTAATGCATGCACGTATGTAGCACACACTTGCTTATTGCATATCTGCCTACAGAGATCAAAATTGATTGTAGATTAGACCAGATTTGAAGGATCCCGAACAAGGTGCTTATGGAGCTGCCCTGGAAACAGATGATGAAATTGAGGAGAGTCCAATACCTGGCTACTGCTACATACAGATGCTAAAGCATGTACCATGCTCTCCTGGTATGATACATCCTGAATTTATTTATTAAACACCAGATTTATAATTAAGCCTCTGGAGCATGAAGAGTTTTATCTTGAATTTATCAACTAATCAGTAAAATTAATGCTAAAGTTAATGCACTGAATAATCATTGTAGCTATCAGCTAGAAAATATTGCCTTTAGTCACCATCGTTGCCTAGTATTCAAAATTATGAACCAAGCATGTTTGTTATCCAGAGATGAATTAATATATCATTTCCAATGCCTTGTTACCATACAATTAGCATTATTTTATGCATTATTCTATGCAGATTTATGTGAGGGGATGAAGTCAGTGGGGTCATTGTTGGGAGAGGAGAGGAGATCTACTGAGGTTGTCTGTTTTGTGTACATTTGATAGAATATAGAAATTAGGTGTGTGTGTGTATCTCGAGGTGTGAACATTAGATGTAAGGAATATACGAGAACAATGGGCTCGGGTAATTTGCTATTTCATATCCTTTCTGTAATGTAGGGCTTCATATATGTGCCTGAAGTGTGGTGGATGAAGCTTGCAGAGCGGTGTTGCTTTTGCAGTGGAAATATTTGCAGCTGTATGGTTGTAGGAGCTAGAGGATTTCATTCGCTTCATCACTACATTTATGGCTTCACGGTGTCTAATAACGTGCTAATCAAACCTGCATGAGGTGGTGGAGGGATCCTGTGTACGGTGCACCTGTGCTGGCGTCCACTCTTCGCGTAATTTTCTATATTAGCACTGTCGATGTGCTAACGTGTCAGTTTCTTTGTAAGCCCCCGTTTATGGCATAAGTATCTGTTCCACGACAATATTGTAGCTACCAGTTGGAAATTGCCTATATGTACCATTGCTGGCTGCTAGCATTATGTTATGTGAGGGTCTTAATAGTAATAATACTAATGACGACAAGGATGAAGAAGTTCTTACTGCAGCATTTAAGCATTACCAAAACTCTTTAATGTCTAAACAAAAGAGTTAGGAAAACCGTTTGTAAGCTATTGCTTTTATAAAAATGTAGCCAGAGCAATTAATTCCTACTTGAATAGATTCACTGCATAGAAGCAAACATGCTAATAAATTCTGCATTTTTTGATGCATTGTGCATATATGCCTAACACCATTAATTCTAAGTAATAAACTACTACCTGTTTTTATTTATTAGTATAAAAGAAGTATGCATGGAATATTTAAGTTTTTTTGAAAATTGATTTTATATAGAACTCCTTTAAAAAGTTGTATCCTTTTGACACATCTCAAGTTTCATTATTTGTGATATTAAGTTTTATGTCTCAAATGCATCTGGTTTATATACGAAGGAAAAATCCCATTTTCACCCCATTTATTTCAGGTTGGTTGACTGAGACATGAATTTTTTTTGCTGAATTAATTACTGCATACTATCAGAAGTAGATAATAGGGAATAATTCCCTATTATCTACTTCTGATACTATGAAGCTACATGACCCTTTATTTTTTACAGAGTTCTATGAAAGGAATCTTTCAATCTTCTATGATTATTTAACTCTCTCAAAGAATTGTAACTAGAAATATTTCTGTTTTGCTACCATATGCTAAAGAAATTGCATGTCTAATCAATTCATTGTGTCCTTGTATCTAAGTCTACTATAATGGTCAGTCAGTTCGTACGTCGCTTTTACCAATTGCAGAATATGGTGCCTTTTTGACGGCAGTTTGTAACCGGGAAATAGAGTCAATGCCGAGGCACGTATACCACGTTTCGGCACAGCGACGGCCACATCAGGCGCAGAACAGGGTTATAGCGAGCGTTCCAGAGTTTCTGTTTAACAAATATGAACGCTGCAAGATACCATCCATTCAGGGAAACCTCGCACGTAAGCAATGCTCACTAATTAGTAATTAGTAATAAATACTCTCACACCCGCAATGAGTAAATTTCCTTTTTTCCAAAGGCCGAAATGAGTAAATTCCTCAAGCGTCTTCTCAGGACAACAGATAACAGATATGCTTGTTATTAACTCATTGACGTCACGTTTCGGTCACATGCTGAATATAGCTATATATATATATATATATATATATATATATATATATATATATATATATATATATATATATATATATATGTATGTATATACTTTCTCTTTATATCTAGCTACTAGAAGTATATATACATATATATTATATCAGGATAGTAAAACTCATATATTGAATCTCAAGTAAGTTTACTTCCTCTAGATTGTGTTTATGTGGATATATATAACTAATATATTGCTTTTCTTGTGGTAGTTGGTGTGCTACGTACATTTAATCCACCGTTGCCAGTCGACAAGGATGGGAAAATTCGCAGGGCTCACGTCTTGAACAAGGGCAGGCAGTTCCAGCATCTTCTTCGTGGGATTGTTTGTGACGTAGGTGACTCGCACATGTAGTTGGTGAGATCTTATGTATTAGCTGGCAAGTGGATGAAATAATACCACAATGGACGGCTTTGATGAGATAGCAGCATATATCGAGTGAAATACACAGAGGTTCCATATGCAAAGATTTCGCACAAATATACAGTACTGTGTAAATGCAGCAAAATGTCTCCGATTTAACCAGTTCCTGGAAACACATACACGCATGTGTAAATTTAATAAAAGCATGATATAACTAAATATGTATGTTATTGCTCAGAGTCCACTTCAACTAAACCACCAGCCAGAGAGTGATTGCAATGTGTGATCCTTGTATAATATCAGTTTAACATCAAGATTGTATCCTACAGCGCTGCAAATATAGTATGTGTTTATGTTTATCAATCACATATTGCGTGATTATTAAACTGCAATCTGCTTCTTTGTTCTCCTAGGTTCCTGTCCAGTGTGGAGACTGGTACTGCAATCTGTCGTTGTCTATGACATGGGCAGGTTTCATGAGTAGCCTGTTGAATGCTGTCACAGAGGTGCGTTTGAAAAATTTTATCAGTGCATGTTTTTGTTTTGCATCGCAGGTAAAATTACTTACGTATAGTAAAGTTTACGTATATGAAAGTTTTAATAACGCAAAGTAGTAGTGTACGCACAAATTTAAGTTTAATTTTTAATTATCTGCAGTAACCTAGTGTGCTTAGTAATTATGGCACCTGACTGTCAGATGACCCCAATCATTTATTGTACCTGTTTATCCAAGCTCGTATCAATATTATTTGTTTACCAAATGTAAAAACATTCTACATATTCTGAACCACTCTACTGACTTCCTCGTGACAACAACATTACATGATTTGCTACTTGCTTATTGAAGACCATTGTGCCTCTAATCACTTACATATAATTCAAAAGACGGTAATGTTTAAGTGTCATTTATTTCTGAATGGCAGAACCTACTCTATCTATATGGTTTGTTTAAATGTCATCAGAGATTGACATGCAGAATCAAGTAATTTTGCTAGTTATTTCTTTCCAAGCAAATTCGCAAAAACCGCATTTAGTTTTTATATGCAATATATTTTGAGGATTTTGGGTATCTGCAGGATATCAGATATCAAGATCAGTAATCGGCTATTAGATATTAGGAATAAGATATAAAAGATTAAGTTCAGCATATATCAGATATCAGGTTCAGCAAATATCAGATATCAGGATCAGCATATCTTTAATCATTACAGGGGAGGAAAGCAGAGCTTGAGATCAAGCAAAGGAAGGCTAATGGTGATGCTGACACCGTAGAGGAAAGCTCCGGTGAAACAGCATGGCTGTGGTAAGAGATGAGACGTCTTTTCCTTCCATTGGCGAAATTGTAATGTTTAGACGTTGGTGTAGATATGCATCTGCAATAATGCAGGCATTTCCTCTGTCATCACTTATCTTTATTAGATAGATAGGGGCATGGCCAGGAATCTAGAGGGCGATCCTAGGGGGTCTGACACTATTGTGAGTATGCATGCAAATAGCACTGATGTTATTGAAAGTAAGCTATGTTATAATTCGTAGCGTGATGACAAACAGTTTCAATTCTCATTCGTTAAGCTTGTTTCCTAAAATACCCATCAAAATTTATGTGTGCAAAATGTATAGGATGCATTTGGTTTCATATAGTTGGTGATGCCTTCTTTATATTGCATTTTTTTACTCAGTAATTTGGTAGCTATCTGTGGATGCATTGTAGGTGTTTAACTGTGGTCTGTTATGGGTTCAACTGTGTAATAAATTGTGTACAGTCAAACTTGTGGTAGCGGACAGAGCTTCGTGCAGAATGCACATATAAAGTACACTTTTTTGGGTTTCGCTGATTGTGTGACCAAAGCGAACTTTTATATAATTGAATAAAATATAATGAATAATTTAATACAGTAATCGAATACGTTTGTGTATGTGCACTTGGCTATGATGATGCTGTGATTCTATTACAGGGCAAGAGACCAGATCACAGATACACTACGTACAGCAGCCAGGTAATTGGCATCAGTGTGTTAGCTCTCATAAGTGTGCTGTCACATAAGTTGCACCTTTGATTTAATAGACTAATGGGGTTAAAAGATATCTATCTGTTAATATTGATTGTTCCTCGATCAATAATTTAATCGTCAATATCAGAAGGGAAAGGAAAGCAAAAATCAAAATAGCAATTACATGCAATAAACTGAGTTAACAGTGTGACACACTGAATGTATAATTCAGCAAGCATTAAAAATTTACGATAACAAAATGGGCGAAGGTAATTTTTTCAACAACTTAAGTTGATTTCGCTAATCTCCATTTTATGATGTGAAGGGATGCAGATTTTGTCCTTTGAATCCAAAATCCATTAAAGAGGGGTTTGTTGAATCGAAAGGGCACTTGTACTAGAGAGCAGAAAGGGTGGAATGTTTTTTACAGCATACTGCTATGATGCACGTTGCATGCATATTATTGCTTCTCGTAGTCAAATATGCACTGCATTGTATTATACATTGTAGATAAGCATATTTAATAATAATATAAGGAGAATAATTATACACATATCCCTGCATATTTCAATTAGTTTACGTCAGTCACATAATAACAGACTTAGTCTAAAGATGTAATTTTAAGAAGTTGGTTTGCTGATGTATTCTGTGGCCACAGGGGGACACCTCAGGAGCAGGGTAACTCCGTAGTGGCGCTGGCAGCACTGGCAGCCGCTGTGGTGCGCCGTGCCATTACAGTTGACCGGCAGACCGAGGCCGCAGCCACTCAGTTCACAAGCACCAATCAGTGGCTTCAGACAATGATAGACACCGTGCTGCGCGTACTGGATGATGGCAGCGTGCCAAGAGGCGCCATCTTCAACTGGCTGCCACACGTACGTATGCAGCTGACTGTACGGTGAGGTTATGATGTCACGTCAGGCACCGCCTGCCACGTGGCAGCATGAGATATGATGAGTTATTATGACGTCAAACATTTTTTGGCAGACATCTGTGCAGAAAAAACGCCTGTCTATAATGCACACGACTTGGCGGTTGGTTTCCCTTCAGTGGCAGTTAAACTGGTTCAACTGTATATTTCATATTATATAGATTAAAGCTATCGTGGTCATGGTCATATTGAGCAGGGCAGTTTAAACAACACTGTGATATTTCGCTATGGTTATTTCTAAGGTTGTTCTAATAACTGCAGCCGTGATGGTGCTTGGTGTTACAGAAAGGTGGCACTGCGGGTTTTCTGCCACGCTGCAGTGCTGCCATCTGCCTGCACCTTCTTCTGCCGGCCATCATCGCAGTGGATGCAGATCACGTGTCCACTGCTATAGACTGTCTCCTGCGGCTGCTCCCTGATGGAGAATGTGCGACGCAGCCGTCTGCTGTCACCTTCCATGCAGGCCTAGGGCTCGGCCTCTTCCTGGCGTCAGTCTACACAGAGCGCTTCCTAGACTTGTGCTCTGATCAGGTGTGAAAAGCACAATATTACACGAGCGTTTACTCGCGATCTCTTGCCAGTCGTCACATGATGACTACTGCAAATGCGCCTCTAGATTGAATGAACCCCAATCTTAGTTCTAACCATAACCTTTTCCTTAACCCTAATCTTAGCCCTAACATTAACCCCTAGCTTAATTCTAGCCATAACCCTACCCCTAACTGTAGCCCTGTCCCTTGCCCTGATCATAGCCATAACCATTGCTCTAACCCTAGCTCTAACTATCTCCCTAACCATAGTCCTAGTCCTAACCATAACCCAGACACTAGCCATAAGTCCAGCTTTAACCCTAACCATAAACCTAACCCTAACCCTAGCCATAATCATAACCATAACCATAACCCTAACACTAGCCATAAGTCCAGCCCTGACCCTAACCATAAACCTGAACCTAACCCAAGCTGTAACCATAACCATAACCCTAACCCTAGTTATAGCCATAACCCTAATCCTATCTGTAATGATAACCTTAACCGTAATGCTAACCCCAACCCGAAGCCTAAACCTATCCCAAGCTGTAGCCATGACCGTAACCCTATCCGTGACCGAGACTCCAACGCATACTTGCAGAACTTGCAGGCTGTTCTCACGGCTCGTCATCGGCTGGAGCAATGCTGCGTCAGCGGGCAGGCAGAGATGCGCGGCGGATGCCTCGCTGGCCAGATGGCGTTACTGTGCGCGATGTGTAGCGAGGGCAGTACTGAGGCGGTGGAACACGTAACGAAGCAACACAGCGCCCTCTTGTGTCTGCTACAGGACACGAACCCGATGTGCAGTGAGTTTTCGGTACGACCAAAGCTGTACTCTTGTTTATATTACTTTTTTGTGATTGTGATAAAAGTTTCTTGCTTGTGAGCAGATTAGCAGGGTGACGTAGCTAAAGTTGTGCTTGTATTAGAAGTTGATCTCTGTGTGTCACAATAAATGCATCCATCTGTGTAACTTGAATGTGTTGGTTACTACATCACCCTCTCAATGTCACTCAATACTAACTATCTCATTAGTATCTGGAAACCTCTTCATAAATGCTACATTGGTAGATATTTTTTTAGCAAATCTCAACTAACTAGCACAAGCAAGTTACGCAGGTACGTTGAACATGCCTGAATTGACTACAGAATCTATGGTATGAACCAAGAAGTGAACATTTGTTATATTAAGTGTGTGTAATTCATGTCATCCCAATGTCAGTACAGTAAAACCACTGTATAATGGGCACCTGTCTATAAAAGACACTTGGTATTCTTCTTAAGTGGTAGTTACACTGTAAAACCACTTCTCTAGACTAAAGACACCTGTCTGCCTGAAACGGACTTTTTCTTTGGTGACCCACGTACACTGGTTTGGCGTTATTTCACGCGGACAAGGCATTAAAAGTCACGAGTATGCCACTTCATTAACCTGCAGGAACTAAGGAATCGGTGGTCACTGTGTCGCATCTGTAGCAATAAGATGGTGGCTGAGCATAAGACAGGTAATGAGCGTCTCTGCACGGTTTGTTTTGCGTAGGTCGGGTGCGTCTGCGTGGCTGCTGTGACTGCCTGCGCACTCAGAGCCAACGTGCTGCAGCTGGCCTGTGCCATCAGTGTCCTTGATCTTCTCACTAAGCTTCAGGCTGAGAATCCTAGGGTAAGTGCTGCTGTGTGCTGCGCTGCAGCCCTCCTCACTCACCGTGGTACGTGACCCTCCTTATTTGCCGTGTTTGCCCTTCTTACTTGCGTTGGTTGTCCTCCTTACTTACCATAATGGCCCTTCTTTCTTGCCATGGCTCTTTACTTGCCGTGGTAGCCCTCCTTTCTTGCCGTGTTGCCCTCCTTTCTTGCCGTGTTGCCCTCCTTACTTGCCGTGGTTGCCCTCCTTACTAGCCGTGGTTACCCTCCTTACTAGCCGTGGCGTTGCCCTCTCTACTAAGTCCGTGGTTGCCTCCTACCTTGCTGTGGTTGCCCTCCATATCTTGGCCTTGGTTGCCCCTCCCGTACTAGCCGATGGTTACCCGCTCCTTACTTGTCCTGTGTTGCCTTCCTATACTACCTGGTTGGCCCATACTTGACTAGCCGTGTTACCCTTACTTAGCCGTGGTTAGCCCTCCGTTTACTAGCCGTGGTTGCCATCTTACTAGCCGTGGTTTTGCCCTCCTTACTTGCCTTGCTTGCCTTTCCTTACTAGCCGTGGTTACCCTCCTTACTAGCTCGTGGCTTGCCCTCGCTTACTAGCCCGTGGTTGCGCCCTCCTTATACCTGTACCCTCCTTACTTGCCGGTTTACCTCCTTACTAGCCGTGGTGCCCTCCTTACTACCGTGGTTGCCGCTCCTTACTAGCCGTGTTGCCTTCCTTACCTTAGCCCGTGGTTGCCCTCCTTACTGAGCCGTGGGTGGCCTCACTTACTGCTGTGGGTTGCCCTCCAATACTTGCCTTGTGTTGCCCTCCTTACTAGCACGTGGTTACCCTCGCTTACTAGCCTTGTTACCAATCCTACTTAGCCGTGGCGTTAGCCCTCCTTACTAGCCCGTGGTGCCGATCACTTACTAGCCGGGTTGCCCCTCCTTACTTGCCTTGGTGCCTTCCTTACTAGCCGGGTACCATTCCTTCACTAGCCGGGTTGCCGATCCTTACTATTAGCCACGTTGTTACCCCTCTTACAGCACGTGGTTGCCCCTCGCTTACTAAGCCGTGGTTAGCCCCTCCTACTGATCCGTGTTTGCCAGCTCCTTACTAGGCCGTAGGTTGCCCTCCTTACTAGCCGTGGTTGCCCCACTTTACTAGCCGTGTTGCCCTTCCTTACTTGCCCTGTTAGCCTTCCTTACTAGCCGTGGTTGCCTTCCGTTACTAAAAAGCCGTGGTTGCTCCTCCCTTACAGCCGTGTTACCCTCCCTTAACTTGCCTTGGTTACCCCTCCTTACTTGCGCGGTGGTTGCCCTCCTTACACACGTGGTTGCCCTCGCGTAACTAGCGCGTGGTGCCCATCCCTTACTAGCCGTGGTGCCCTCCTTACTGCTGTGGTTCCCTCCATCCTTGGCCTTGGTTGCCCCTCCCTAACTAGCCATGGTTACCCCACTTTACTAGCCTTGGGTATTTAACCATCCTACCTTGCCGTGGTTGCCCCTCCTACTAGCCGTGGTTTGCCATCCTTTGACTAGCCGTGGTTGCCCTCCTTACTTGCTGTTGCCTTTACTCTACTAGCAGTGGTTACCATCTCTTAACTAGCCGTGGTTGGCCCTCCTTACGTAGCCGTGGTTACCCTCCGTTACTACCCGTGGTCGCCCTCTTTAACTAGCCGTGGTTGCCCCTCCTTAACTTGCCTTGGTTGCCTATCCTTAACTAGCACGGGGTTGCGCCCTCCTTACTAGCGTGGTTGCCGTTCCTTACTTGCTGTGGTTTTGCCCTCCATTACTTGCCTGTGGTTTCCTCCTCTACTAGCCGTGGTTGCCCGTCACTTACTAGCCGTGGTTGCCCTCCTTACTAGCCGTTGTTGCCATTCCTTACTAGCCGTGGGTTGCCTTCCTTACTAAGCCGGGTTGCCCGGTCCTTACTAGCCGTGGTTACCCTCCTTACGTAGTCCGTGGTTGCCTTCCTTACTATGTCCGGGTCCTTTCTACTAGCCGTGGGTTACCCCCTTACTAAGCCGTGGTTGCCCTCCATTACGAGCCGTGGTTACCTCCTTACTAGCGCCGGGTTTCCCTCCTTACTAGCCGTGGTTGCGCCACTCCTACTAGCCGGGTTTCCTCCTTACTAGGCCGTGGTTCCCTCCTACTGAGCGTGGTGCCCATCTCTTACACAGCCGTGGTTGCCCTCCTTACTTGCTGGGGTTGCCTTCCCTACTTGCTTGGTTCCCTCCTTACTAGCTCGGGTTAGCCCTCGACTTACTCCGTGGTTGCCCTCCTTACAGTGCTGTGGTTTGCCCTCCTTACTAGCCCGGGTTAGCCTCCTTACTAGAGCCGTGGCTTTGCGCTTACTTGGCTGTGGTTGCCCTCCCTTACTAGCCCTGTGGTTGCCGTCCTTACTGCTGTGTTGCCCTCCTTCAGCCGTGGTTGCCCTCCTTACTAGCCGTCGGTTGCCCTCCTTACTTAGCCGTGTGCCCTCTCTTAACTACCCGTGGTTGGTTGTCCTAACTTGCTGTGGTTACCCTCCTTACTTGCCGTGTTTGCCCTCCTTACTAGCCGTCGGTTCCCTCTTACTTGTCCTTATAGTGCCTTATTTAGTTGCCCTCCTACTTAGGCGTGTTGCTCCTTCTTACTAGCCGTGCGTTACATCTTACCCCTCCTTACTACCGTGGTTGCCCTCCTTACTAGGCTGGGTTTACCCTCTCTACTAGCCCGGGTTGCCCTCACTTATTGCGTGGTTGACCTCCATACTTGCCGTTGGTCTGCGCCTTTTTACAATCCGTGGTTTACCCTCCTTATTGCCAGTGTTGCCCTCCTTAACTAGCCCGTGGGTACCCTCTCTTACATAGCCGTGGTTATTGCCCTCACTTACTAGCCGTGGTGCCCCTCGCTTCTAAGCCGTGGTTTACCCTCCTTCTAGCCGTGGTTGCCGCTCCTTACTAGCCGTGGTTTGCCCTCCTTACTAGCCCGTGGTTGCCCATCCCTTACTAGCTTGTGGTTGCCCTCCTTACTCAGCCGTGTTACCTCCTACTAGCCGGGTTACCCTCCTTACTAACCGTGGTTGCCCCCTTAACTAAGCCGTGGTTGCCCCTCCTTACTTAGCTGTGGTTGCCTCCATCCTTACTAGCCCGTGGTTGCCCTCCTTACTTGCTCGTGGTTGGACCTCCATACTTGCCATTTGGTGCCCTTTTTACCTAGCCGTGGTTACCCCTCCTTGACTGCCCCTGTCGGTTGCCCTCCTTAACTAGCCGTGGTTGCCGCCCTATCTAGCCGTGGTTGCGCCTCCGTTACTTGCTGTGTTTGCCGCATCCCTTACTAGCCGTGTTACCCTCCCTACTAAGCCGTGGGTTGCCCATCCATCTTTTTTTTACTAGCCGTGGGTTACGCCTCCTTACTACCATGGATGCCCTCCTTACTAGGCTCGTGTTACCCCTCATCTTACACCGTAGGTTACAATACCTTACTAGCACATGTTGCCCTCTACTTACTAGCCCGTGGTTGCCCCTCCTTACGTAGCCGCCGGGTTGCCTTCCTTACTAGCCGTGTTTGCCCTCCTTACATGCCATGGTTGCCCTCCTTACTAGCCGTGGGTTACCTCCTTACTAGCCGGGTTACCCTCCTTATAGCCGTGTTGCCCTCCTTACAGCCTGTGGTTGCACCTCCTTACTAAGCCGGTGGTTACCCTCCTTACAGCCGTCGGTTGCCCCTCCTTACTAGCTGTGGTTGCCCTCCTTACTACCGTGGGGTTTACACTCCTTACTATGCCGTGGTTGCCCTCTTTACCTAGCGCAATGGTTTCCCCACATCCTTACTTGAAGCCGTGTTGACCCTCTTACTAGCTGTGGTTGCTCTCCTTACTAGCCTTGGTGTGCCTCCTTACTAAAGCCGTGGTTAACCCTCCTTACTTGCGCGTGGTTGCCCTCCTTACCTAGCCCGTGGGTTGCCCTCCTTACTAAAGCCGTGGTTGCCCTCCCATTACATAGGCCGCTGTTTACCATCCTACTTGCCGTGGTTGCCCCCTTACTCAGCCGTGGTAACCATCCTTACTTGCTGTTGGTTGCCCCTCCTACTAGCCGTGTTGCCATCCTTACTTGTCCGTGGTTGCCCTCCTTACTAGCCCGTGTACCACCCTTACGTTGCCTGTGGTTGCCCCCTTAAACTAGCCGTGGTTGCCCATCCTTAACTTGCTGTGGTTGCCATCCTTACTAGCCGTGGTGGCCTCCTTACTAGCCGGGTTGCCCCTCCTTACTAGCCTTGGTTACCCTCTACTAGCCGTGGTTGCCCTCCTATACTAGCCGTGGTTGCCCCTACTTGTCCTGTGGTTGCGTCCTTAACCCGCCGTGGTTACCCTCCTTACAGCTCGTGTTACCCTCCTTATAGCCAGTGGTTGCCCTCCTAACTAGCCTGTTGCTCATCCTTACTTGCCGTGGTTGCCCATCCTCTACTTGCTGTGGTTGCCATCCTTACTAGCCGTGTTACCCTCCTACTAGCCGTGGTTGCCTTCCATTACTAGCCGTGGTTGCCCTCCTTAACTACCGTGGTTGTTTCTCACTTACAGCACGTGGTTACCCCCTTACTAGCCGTGGTTGCCCTCCTTACATGCGCGTGTTGCCCTCCTTTACTAGCCGTGGTTGTTTCCTTACTAGCCGTGCGTTTACCCCTCCTTTAGCCGTGGTGCCCTCCTTACTAGCCGTGGTTATGCCCTCTCTTACTAGTCCGTGGTTGCCCACCTTACAGCCGTGCGTTGCCGCCTCCTTACTAAGCGCGTGTTGCCCTCCTTACTAGCCATGGTACCCTCCTTACTAGCCTGGTTCCCCCTTACTATCCGCGGTGCCCATCCTACTGACGTGTTGCCTTCCTTAAACTGCCTTGGTGCCATCCTTAACCTTGCTCGTGGTTGCCATCCTTACTTACCCGTGACCGTGTTACTCTTACTAGGCCGTGGTTACCCTGACCTTACTTAGCGTTTGTGCCCTCTTACTAGCCGTTGTTGGACCCTCCTTCCTAAGCCGTGGTTACCCTCCTTACTAGCCGTGGATTTACCCTCCTTACTAGCCGTGGTTACCATATCCTGGCTACTAGCCTTGGGTTGCCCTCCTTAAGCCGATTGCCTCTTATGCCGCTGCTACTAGCCGTACCTCCTTTACAGCCGTGTTTGGCCCTCCTACTAGCCGTGGTTACCTCCTTTACATAGCCGATGGTTGCCCTCCTTACTAGCTGTGGTTACCATCCTTACTAGCCGTTGTTGCCCTCCTTACACGCCGTGGTTGCCCTCCTTACTAGCCGTGGTTACTCCTCCTTACTTGGCCTTGCTTGCCACCTTACTAGCCGTGGATTCGCACCTCCTACTAGCCGTGGTGCCCTCTCTTAATTGCCGTGGTTCCCTCCTACTAGCCGTTGGTTACTCCTTCCTTACTAGCCGCTGACGTTACCTCCTTACTAGCCCGGGTTACCATCCTTACTAGCCTTGGTTTCCGCGTCCTTACTAGCCGTTCACCGTCGTTGACCTGCCGGTTAGCAACGTGCCTTGCCCTTTTACAGCCCGTGTTCCCTCGCTTATTAGCCGTGGTTCCCTCCTTCATAGCCGTGGTTCTTCCTCCTTACTAGCCGTTGATTACCCTTTCTTACTTGCCTTTTGGTTGCCATCCTTTTACTAGACCGTGGTTGCCGCTCCTTACTTAGCCGTGCGTGCCCTCCTTACTTACGTGGTGCTCTTACTAGCACGTGGTTACCCTCCTTACTTGCCGTGGTTCAAATCCTTACATAGCCGTGGTGCCCTCCTTACTACCGTGGTTGCCCTCCTTACTAGCCGTGGTTGCCCTCCTTACTAAACCGTTGTGCCCTCCTACTAAGCGTGGGTTGCCCTTCTACTGCCTTGCGTTGCCCTCCTTACTGGCCGTGTTTGCCCTCCTTATCAGCCGGGGTTGCCCTCCTTTACTAGCCCGTGGTTGCCCGTCCTTTACTAGCCTGTTGGTTGTTCTCCTTACTAGCCGTGGTTGCCTTCCTTACTTGCCTTGGTTGCCATCCTTACTAGCCGTGGTTGTCAGCCTCGCTTTATAGCCGTTTGTTGCCCTCCTACTAGCCCGTGGTTAACGCCTTCTTACTAGACGTGGTTGCCCTCCTTTACTTGCCATGGTTTTTCTCGCTGTACTAGCCGTGGTTGCCATTCCTTACTTGCGCTTGGTTGCCATCCTTAACTAGCCGGGGTTGCCCTCCTTACTAGCCGTTGTTGCCGCCCTCCTTACTAAGCCGTGGCTTTTACCTCCTCTATAGCCGCGTGCTGCCCTCCTTACTTCGCCGTGGTTGCCTCTCCTTACTAGCCGTGGTTACCATCCTTACTAGCCGTGGTTTGGCCCTGCCTTACTAGCCGTGGTTGCCCTCCTTACTAGCCATGCTTGCCCCCTTACTAGCCGTGGTTGCCCTCCTTAACTATCCGGTGGTTGCCCTTCCTACTAGCCGTTGGCTTGCCCTCCTTACTAAGTCGTGGTTGCCCTCCTTACTGTTGCCGTGGTTTCCCTCCTTACTAGCCGTGGTTGCCCTCCTTACTTGTCTTATAGTGCCTTATTAGTTGCCCTCCTTACTTAGCGTGGTGCCACTAAAAATTGACCGATATCCACAGCAATTGTAAAATTTGTATGTAGTGCATAGGTATTGCGTTTATTCCATCCTCTATTGGTGCACTTTTGTTGCCACCGTTACTTATATCCATCACCAGGATGCAGCACTGGGCCAGGCACTTGGCATGATGGTGCATGAACTGCTGTTACCTGGCAGGCAGCCAGCCATCATCAGGCTGAAAGAGCGACTGTATGGGGACTGGATGAAGACTCTGACCGATGCTGGTGCCCCCTTGCTCCACAGGCAGACCTGTCTTAGGGGCGTGCTTGCAATATTTGGCAGTGAGCGTGAGATTACTGGAGTAAGTAGCAGGTCAACTTCAGTAACTTAAATTTTTGTATTTGTATATTTAGGTAATTATCAATGCGTACATTTACACAATTACCAACAATATGTGTATTTATTTTGGATGTGTATCTAGAAAACTACCAAGAACAGATGCACCAAAAGTATGCTAGCCACACTTAGTTACATTGCGGTCCTTGCACGTTTGTACTCGATTACACATTGGCAACGATCGCACAACCTTTTCCACGAGAACTCATTTAACAGACTTCATGCATCAACTTGCAGGCCGTCTATAGAAGAATTTGATAAATCGATGAGCTCACACGGTGTTGGTGCGCGTTGACGTCGATATTGTTCGTCTATGGTGTGGGTGAGTGAGAAGTGATGGGCATCTCTCGTTGTAGATGGCTGAAGACGTCACGGAGACGCATGTTGACAGCAGACTGAACGATGTGCTCCGGCTAACCATGCAGATTCTGTCCGGTAGCACAGAGGTAGCGCTGCAGTCATGTGCAGCCTGGATGCTGGGGCAGGTGTGTGCGGTCATCAGCAATAGCGAGAGAGCAACGACGACAGGTACACGCAAAAAACTGAGGTTGCTCTAGTGTATAATTGTGTGGCATATATTTTACCTTCTGGTGTAGTATATTTGTCTTTGTGTTTTTATTGTTGTTATTTCTATTATGTATCTATATTTATTCACTTATTGGTATGTCCATTTAGCTATAGTAGGTAGTTTTAATAAGTCTGATGTCATTGTCATTGTTGTTGCAAGCCCCCAGCGACTATTCCTACCTGAGCGATCAATATGTCCTTCGGCCACTCATCAGCGTCATTGGAGAGGCAGGAAAACTCGGTGAGTTGTGATGCTCATGCAGCTACTTGATCCATGGTGGCTGGTCACTGATGGTAATGCCTTCAGATGGCTCTGTGTGGTGGCTTTGTATTGCTATAAATGACAAAGAACTGTGAATTCTTTGTGTAAAAACAATCACTACTGGAGAGCCTTTGGAAATCTATAATTGACAAATAACTGTGGATTCATTGTGTAAAAATAATTATATTTTAAAGTCTGGAAAGATGCTGCATAAATGTCGAATAAGCTTAGATTGTTGGAAGCTAAGGTGGTTCAGTTGTTTAAAATTTTCTATTCTTAATTCAGTATCGCCTCAATATATTTCGTGGGTACTGTTATCTTACTACTTCTAACAACTTTTTATCTAGGTACCATATTTTCAAGTGTTAAGAGATATAAGCTAGTATTTTGAGATTTTAACCAGTCTCTTTTATTTGCAAAATGATAACATTTCGTGAATTTTATTCCATTCGTTCTAGTTCGAGATTATGCATATTAATGCTCATAGGGTCTATGTCCCCCAGGTTACTGCCGGAACGTACCCTGGTAACTATCTAGCTGATATGGTTAGGGGTTAGGGTTAGAGTTAGAGTTAGGGTTATGGTTAGGGTTAGGGTTAGGGAGTAGGCGTAGGCGACTCCCTAGACTCGTTAGTGGAGTAGGCGAGGTGCGGTCCGGCATATTAGATAGTAGTATTTAGTACCAGGGTACGTTCCGGCACTACCCTGGGGGACATAGACCCTATCAGTCATAGTAATGTCGTTCAGCAAGGTCAGTTGATCTCTACTCGATTATCGTAAATAAACCTGTCTGAATATGTATGCTGTCTGATGCGTGCGCATGTTTTTCATGGCGCCATCACATTGCTTGTCATGTCGCGCAGGCCCAGAGGTTGTAAGGACAGATGAGCTGGAATTGTATGTGCAAGCGCTGGCTGCTACACACGCCAGACCCCTGCCACCACTCAACTGGGCCAGTCTTCTTAACCCACTCCTCAAACTGCCATTCGGTGAGAGAGCCAATAGAAGTAATACATTTTAGTTTGAGATGAGTTGTGTAATCGTTAGTAAAAGTTATAGGTGTTATAACATGTCCTAGATCTATTTTTTATAATGTTTTAGTACACGTTTTTATTTATTTACCATTTGTAATGTAACAATATTAAGAGCATTATAAGCTTTCTAGATTGATTAGAATGTTGGCCAGTTCATTTCTGTGTTTATAATGCCAATTTCCCCACTGTTGAATATTTTAGGTAGTTCGTTTTTATTTAACTATTAGCTGTTGCAATTTAAGGTGTCTAGATGACATAGATTAGTATAAATAATTATATGTGATTAGTGTAATAGATATGTACGTACGTGGTTATGGCTGTGTAATTATTTGTGTCAACCATATATCTATTACGCAATTGATTGTTTTGACAGGGTTTGATTCAATTTTCGTTCATGTACAGGTGCACTGGTCCAGCAGATGTGTTTACAGATAGCCATTAATGAAGGTGCATCTTCAACTTCTGCTGCACAGTTTGTATCGGCATGGTGCATTCCACCTCTCTACACCTCCCTCCAGGTACAATATTAAATGTAGTCAATTCGTAATTTTCCCTGTTTTTTTTATAATAATACAGATTATCCTGCTCTTATTTTGACGGTTGAAATGAAAAGCTTATTTTAAAACCCAGCACAGTAGATAATGAAATGCATTTGCAGCTCACAATAAGACTGTGACTCAGTCAGCTCTTTAGGTTGATAATGGCAATAGGCATTGCCTACACTGACACTAGATGGATAGTTGGTTGGATGGATAGGTGGGTGGGTCGATAGGTGAATGGACAGACGGGCAGATAGATGGATGGTTCGGTGGGCGGGTGTGTGGGTGGCTGGATGGTTGGATGGATTGGCAGATAGACTGATGGATCAATAGATGGACAGACAGACAGATAGATAGGAAAATAATAGGTTTATTGCATAACGGTTACACAAACAGGTTACCTGATCTCATCAGGCAATGTAAAGGTGAAGTAAATGGTGCTTACAATTACAGCTTCTAAGCACACGAATAGCTTACAATGAAACCAACATTGATTATCAGCATTGGCATCATTACAGCCGCACTGCAAAACCCTGCTCTGTGAGAAACTACCGACGCTAATTCGCTTTCTGCCTCCGGCGAAGCTGAGGACATTGTTGGAGAGACTCATCGCTGACGCCTTCAGCACGGACAGCGAAGGTGTTCAGGTACATGTTGATAGATTTTATTTAAGTTGCATGCATCACCCTGGATTGATGTAGTAACCAAAGGGACATTAGGAGTCACCAAATCAACCATCATTTTACTTATGAACAACTGGCCAGTTTAATCAAACATGTTTATAAAGTATTGACTGGGGTTATTTCACATCTTACGTAGCACTTGGAGATGATACAGTCAAACTTGTATATAAGGGTCACTTAAGGTAACCAATTAAGTGTCTATTATAGACAGTTGTTCTTTCTATGGAAGTGTCTGCTTACACAGGTTTTAGTTGATGAGGTTACACAGGATTATTTAACTTGCTGACTTTTATTTGATTAAATAACATTTCTTCCCCAATTGGGTTTTTAGCAATTGACTACATAACTGGACTTACAGCGTTTTATATTAACCAGCTTTGAGTCCAACTATCAGTCCTACTTATGATCCAAAAAGCTGTTAAAATTCACTTTTTGATATTAGATAATTAATTACCTTATTTTCGCAGTTGAGCTTTATATTTTTTTCACAATGCCCACTGTTGTTTATGAATCTATATTATTCAGTTAATTTCACGAAACAGGACAGTGCCCAAAATTTACATTGAAGAAGCCACGGCTAGAACAGCTGTCAATCACGCCCCATTTTTGAAGAAGCCACCAAATGCAAATCTAGATGAGCACCGATTGGCAATTGGAATGTGTAGATATAACATACTCCACATGTGGGTTATTAGTTGGAATGTGTAGATATAACATACTCCACATGTGGGTTATCAGTTGGAATGTGTAGATATAACATACTCCACATGTGGGTTATTAGTTGGAATGTGTAGATATAACATACTCCACATGTGGGTTATCAGTTGGAATGTGTAGATATAACATACTCTACATGTGGGTTATCAGGTATTGAAGATTGCACGTCCGATATAATATTCATTGCTATGGATTCTGTGCGTCATAATTAAACCCCTGAGCGTCAGTGATCGTTGAGGCATTCATGATTAAATTCGTTTGTGCTATTTCTGCTGGTAACATGTTATTCTTATCCACACAGCTGGTGTCACTTCTAGATGGCTTCTCTGCTGCCCTCACAGTAGCGGATCCGCCACAGGCCGTCACGCCCGTGTTGTACATGAATGTTGAGCATATCTACACACTCATCTCTGCTGAGGAGAATGTAAGTTGGGAATCTGTAGCCAGAAATATTGCGAGTCGTTGTGCAGTCATAGTCTATAATTCATAACTTTTGAAATAAAATGCTGCGCAAAACTTTTATTATATTATATGTTACATGTCACATTTATTATATTATATGTTATTATTATGCAACTCAAAATAGCCATAACTATTTATGATATGTCTGGCAATGGCACCACCTAATCTTGCAACCAATTCAGCTGTTACATAGTCAAACTAGTACCTAATAATTATTCCAGATTGTGATCATTGTTTTATCACTCTGGCTGATCATAGAAACAATGCAATGCTACAGAAAGAAGAAATGAACCGCTATCATTTACCAGTAAAATATGAAATAAATATTATGTGTGTCCTCAAATCGGCAGCAGGTTAAGGAGTGTAAAATTATTATGAATTAGGAAGTGTTTTTAAACATTAAATAATTTTCTGTTAAATAAAAATGGGAAGTAGTTGTTCTTAAAATAGTTGTTAACTTCAAATAGATATTAAGTAGTAAGCATTTTAACAACAGTACGCGTGTGACTATTTCTCACAGTATGACACGCTGCGATCAGTGTACTCCCTTGTGGAACAGCTGCCTGAGAATCTTGTTCAGAGGCTGGTTAGCTTCGAGCACTCAGATCTCCGCAAACCAATCTTCGTGTGCTGCCACCTCGTGAAGAGTGGAAAAATGCCCTTGCAGTGGCTGGATAAGTGCATAGAGGGAGTTCTGGCCAACATGAGGTATATGTCCGTCTGATTGTGACGAGAATTCATTGTGCGCTTTACATTCTGCACTTTACGTTGAAGTTATGAACTCTTTACCGTCATTACAATATTAAGAGTGGATGTGTGTGCATGGAGGGTCCTGGGCAGTGTCTATGGGACACAGATCTACTGTACTACTCCATGATTTATCGATCAGCTTATCAATCGATGCCATTAAGCTATAATATCAGCGATGAACAGCATTATGATTGAGACTCGTTGACAAAGTGTTGATGTCAATATGGGCATTAGTAAACGTGCAACAGGTTTAGGCATTGTTAATTTATGTATTTAATATACACACTGAACATGCAATAACATAATGAGCATTGATTTTATGATAGCATATAGGCAACATTTTGCACAAAAGTGATGTTCTAGAATTATTAAATATAAAAATAATAAGAAGAATAAGAAGAAGACGAAGAAGAAGAAGAAAACGAATTAGTAATTAGTAATTATAATTTCAGTAAAGGCTCTTTGTGGCAATATGTCAACATATATTAAGAAAACGAAATTCTCTTCTTGATTTCAGTTTGACGATAAACATATCCTGGCTGCTGAGGCTGGTAGGCATCTGCCTGCATCGCTGTTCCCGTGCTGAGCATCACGGCGGAGAGGCTGCTAGTCTGCAGTGGATGCTCAACCTTCTCGGGAAAATGCGAGAGGTTATGCTGGCTCGGTCTGAGGCGGCCATCTTACGGCAGGTGCGCATTATGCAGTTAGTGCCCACGTGTAAGAGAAACAAGATTTCCCTGGTTACCAAATTTAGGCGAATCTTTGTTTCCAAAGTGCAAGGGCAATAACTTACATAAACTTGAGTTTATTAAACTTGAAAACCCCAAAATTAAAGTACTCCAAATCTCCAATTGTCTTTTGCCTTGAGGCTTTCAATTTCCTGTCAGCAAATATTTCTAACGTGCACTTATAACATTCTGTGACATCACAAAATGTTATGGTGCAGGATATATAATGAGAAGAGGGATATACATAAGGTTTTATTGTCCATTGTCCAGACACATAATGTATTACAGCCTAGCTCTGTTGTTACTTGCATTCGTTAGCTGTAATAACGGCCATTCTGGAGTCACCATAGTTAAAAATAGGCACGGAATTTGTCATCCTCGTAGTGAGGGGAGAGTGTGATGACTGCCATTCTTATCTGGTCAGTTTTTAAGGGACATATTTTCTCTGCAGAAGATCACAGCTCTGATGCAAATCTTTGCTGCCTGCGTTGTGGCGTTTTCAACCAGTCGTCTGCACCCACTTGGTACAATCGCGATGCAGTACGACAGGCAGCTCCATCTACTGGAGGGAAAAAATGTATCACTTGGCTCCGAATTACTGTCTCTGCTGCCAGTGGAATTACCCAAGCTCTTGCAGTCCAAGCCATGGCATCAGGCTTCCAGTACTGTAAGCATGTTATTGTCAGTAGCTCTTTAACATCATTGTGCCAGTTTCAGTATAAAATTACCCATCCTCTGCCCTCTTATTGACGATTTCATGTGTGCCTGTATTGTGTGTGCCTGTATTCACTTAAAATAAACAAGCTTCGAGTTTAAATCAATGATAATTAATGTAGGTCTCCCAATTTAGCTCGTTTCTCATAGATGAATCTATGTCAACATCACATTTGATCACAATTTGTAATATAAACGAATTTGTGTTATGCTGGATAATGCTGAAAATTATGGTCAAGTGACATTATTTCATGTGATTATTTTTAAAGGTATTTTCTTTGCTGCTGTTGCTGCAGCAACAGAAGAATGAGTTTGGTGTGGAGCTATCGTCTATTATCTCTGGTATGTGTAGGCACTATGTAACGTAAAACCACTCCTACTAAGTATCACAATCGTTGTATTGTATGTTAAAGGAATAATAGGTCCATTGATTATGCAATGTTGACGAATGCTAGAGTAACTGTCAGCTTGTGTAGTTAATAAGTGCATTACTTTATAGCCAAACGCGTATTAGTTTGTCCAATATCACTGCTGGTTACTAAGAAATGTCTAATTGAAATCCGCAGTCCAAGAAATCGGTTGACTGATTGTTTACAGTTTCCATGCAGTTTCAAACCGCTAGGTGTGATACAGATTTATAGTGCACCGGACATTTTCGCACGCATGCTCGGCCGTACGCAATGCTATCATTAGTGATTTCGTAAACACGGACGCTCGTGATAAGGAACTTTTTGTCAGGGCTGTCCATGTGCGTCCGTGATTAGTACGTGTGTTTTACTCCATTTCCATGTTTAGTCCGTGGCCGTGGTTACACCGCTGACACTTCCATTTCATCTGGCGTCCAAAACATACGGGCCGCACAAATGTTTACGTCATCGACGACTTATCGCTTGACTCTTGGATGACATTTACGGCACGTAAATGAATATCAACAACCGATTTCAAGTCTTGCTTGTAATGTAACCAGCAGTGATATTGGACAAACTAATACGCGTTAGGCTATAAGGTTACGTACTTATTAACTACACAAGGTGCCAGTTACTCTAGCATTCGTCAACATTGCATAATCAATGGACCTATTATTCCTTTAAGTGTACCATGCAATACTTTACCTATTACCAGTAACAAAGAGCCTGCAAAGATTCGATAAAAAATTATAGACTGTCCCACCAACTCACTCCTTCCATCCTCTACACACAACACTCCTCACTCAGCCTCCATCAAATTTGTATATTTAATAGTGATACCCTTTACTGCTTTTCTAACATCTGTTGATAACCTATAAAAATATATATACAGAAGCACCATTGATACAGTTAAGTTAGCGATTAGGATTGTGTATGATATTGTAGCGTGAACATGATCACATCTGTCATATTCAGTAATTGTTTTATTGCATTGTATAATATCATTTAAAATGCTAACCATTAATTAATTATTATGTTCATTTTAAATTGCAGACTGTTTTAGAGAACTACGCCATTGCTCGGAGTTCAAAGGTGCTGCAATCTGGACACAAGTTGTGCAATTGGAAGTATAAGTTACCCATAGGCGTCTATACTCGTACTGCTCCATAAAATTGATTGAAGCAGACATTGCTGTGATCTAACACTACACAAGTATGCCCTCGCCCATGTGTGAGTCTCGTGTGTCATGCCACCCTCCAGCTCAATGACTGACGAGTGGCAACGTTCGTGTGGATCCCAGAAAACCTGGAAAGTCTTAGAATTGCCATGCAATTTCATCATTTATGTTGGAATTGCAATGCTATTTTCCAGGTCTGGAAGATCCTGGTAGAAAATAGGTAAGGGTCATGGAAGGTCCTAACAAATTGGCTATTATTTTGTCTGGGCCTTGAAATTGAGGTCATGTTTAAAAGGCAATAAAATATGCTTCACGTGAGTTTGTTCTCTTATCTTAGTCATTAAAAATTAAGCTTTAATTTAAGCCATCAACAACTTGCTTTACCGTAGGTGTGTGAACCCTGTAGGTAAATAGTAGTGTTATTTGATTCATCAGTGTAATGCTTTAGTTATAACATGAAATATCAAAATGATCACAAAATATTAGAATTGCCAGGACTAGAACTTTGCAGGCAGTTATAAATAATTGGTTGAACTTTACATTGTTATTGCTGGTGAAAGTGCTTCCATGAAACAAGTGTATGCTGTAATTGAGATGATGGGGAAAATATTAATATTTTGTACATGTATCAATTTTGTTTGCAACGCGATGGCATTCACTATGAATTATGATGCTCATTAAAAAATGTGCAAAGAAAATTATTGTTATTGTGATTTCTGTTAATCGATACGTGTTCGACGTACAGGATTACAAGCAATCGCTACACTCTCTCAAATATGATGAACACATAGAACTCGCCGAGCGACGTTCGAATCGTGAGAATCGTTTGTGATTTCTGTTGGTAGCGTACGTGGCTCCTCGCATCGTCCGATACGTCACTCCTCGAGTATGTTGCGCGCTGTTCAAATCGTGACCAAGACCCCCTTTATTATTCGTTATACCTTCGCTGTCGTTTTCCCCCTTTGACGTCGGCTCTGATCAACTGAGCTCGTAGGTGACCCTTTCTTCGATGCTTTCAATGGCTTGCTCTTTCGACCTCATGGTGGAACTAACTCTTTTACCGCTGGTTCTCGTCGCAGTTCCTCTGTAGGTTAGTGGCTCTTCGGAGCTCGTCGACGAACGAACTTTTCCCTCGATGCTTGCTCTTTCGAGCTCTTGGCTGACAGAGGCACTTTCAAATAATTTTACTCAGTTTAATGCCTCGTACCTTTCCACTGATCCGTCCAAGAGATCCATATTGAATCTAACTGGTTGAAAATAAAACAGGCCATTACCTCAGATGTAAATTCCAATATCGCTATGAAGATTATTCGCAATAAGGCTTCAGTTCCTTGGTTGTCATCTTCCTTAAAGAAATCTATGAAGAAGAGATATCACTATTGCCACCAGGGGTCTAGATATCGCCATTAAAGAAATTTTGTTTTCCAATTAAATCGTAAACTCCATCGAGATTTTCTAAGTGGCATTGTCTGTGATAAACTTGCTGATGATGCTAAACCTTTTTGGAGATTCATGAAATGTAAACGACGGGTAATTGGTATTCCATCCCTTCTCCGTAGGGATGGTATTTCCTGTCTCTTGCATAGAAAGCTTGTTTGTTGAGTATTAAATTCAAGTCGGTTTTCTCTACCATTACTTAACAAGTGCCGCGGAGCGACAGCGCTCATCTAACGTCTACTGCGGTGACTCTGTGGTGGATTTGTGGGATTCTACTAAACCCTGTTAGTCCCAAATGTGTTCACATACGCGCCGAAACAGTGGATGGTATCAGGAACCTTCTCGAAAGAATGTTCGTTGGGATTGTTATGAAAGTTGCCACGAGATGGCGCGTACGTTTAAGTGTCTTAAGATTAAAGATGGAAGCTCCCATCGTATGTAGTAGCAACAACTATTTACAAGGCAGAATAGGTAAGCACTCATCCATTTACCTACGCAAGCCTACAGGCTGAAATAGAGAGCTGCCACCTGTAACTAATTAACGCAGGCAAAAACTACACAGTACTATCACCACCACATGCACCGGCAGTGGCCACTGGCAGTGGAATAAGTTACATGTAACACACTGACAGTAAAGAATGCCATAGAAATTATACGATTTAAGGAGCATAAACCTTCAACCAAATTTAGCTTTTGAAATTTCACTGTGACATTGTAGCCTCATACATCCAGGCATGTATAGATTCTACTAGCAAACCCGGCAGTCAAATTCTTTCTAACAGTAAACAAATCCATGTTTAACCCTCTTGAGGGTCAAAAGGTTATCACACACTTACTCTTCTCATGTCAGCAGAAAGTACATTTCATGGTCCTTTCAATAAAGCCATAAAAATGGTAGGTCACCACTGAAACAAAAAAGTTTTCCAATCGCTCCGTCAGACCATGTCCTCAGAAAATGTCTAAAATCTGCCCTGTGCCCATTGACCTTTGACTGTGACTCCAGATTTCGCACAAGTGATGGCTTTTCGCTACAATGATGCTATTATCGACTATCACGAGCCTAGGTCGAGCCATTTAGATTTGTGCGCAATTTGACATTTCCTCCCTATTTACCTCTAAGTTGAAGCGAAGGAATTGTTCCCCTTCTTTTAACCTCTTGAGGCCTTAGAGGGTCGAGCATTTAAGATTTGTGCCGCCATTTCTGCATTTTCCTCCCCTTACCTTAAGTTAAAGGAAGGAATGTTCCCTTCTTGTTACACCTCTTGACCTTAGACTCCCAGCTTCGAGCATCCCAACTCGCTTTTCGCGATTACCCTCCCCCACGTCCCGAATATTGTAAACGTACGTCGAGCCGTTTTAGATTGTGCCAACTGTTTGATCGACCGCACGGACGGACTACGCACGCACGCACGCACGGACGATCATGCGATTCATACAAGCTGCATCTGACTATGTCATATGAGCTATTAATACTTACCTGTATTACAGTCACAAAATAAACGCCAGAATGTCTAGTCTTTTCTTTTGATTCAATGGTTTGTACAGTCTTTTTTTAGTCGAGTCATTTTGAGTCTCACAAAGAGTCAGTCGCTATAAAATGTGTTTGGCAAATATAATGATAAACAACTTTAATGAACACTGAAACAATCAACTTGTGTTTCCACACAGTCAGTTCTTCCTGAATGTCTTTGGCAAACAAAATTAACAACAACAACTTTTATCAGAACTGAACTATTATTTATGTACCTACGATCATAATATACTGTAGCACCGTGGGAACACTAAGAGAGAGAGACCATACAATCGTTTAGGGACGGCCGGGCGATGGCCCCACCAGACAACCCGCATACTTAAGAGCGGGACATATAAATTAACATTGACAGTAAGCAGTCTAAAATGGTACGGACGCATTCACTTTACCCAAGAACGCAGCTAAATTCTAGGGTGTAGTATCCCTTTAAGCATGTAGTGAAGGAAACAGGAATTTATGCTGTGATCAACACATGTGTTTGATATGCTATAAGCCCCTCGCTTCTCTCTCAAAATCTTACCTAGCTACTCTCAGGGATGAGATTCTTCCGCGGATCCGCGGAAATCCGCGGATTTGACAGTCCCAGGGGTCGATTTTGTGAAACGTCTAAATTCGTTGAGAAAATTGGGAGGGGGGTAACAATGTAACAATTTAAATTATATACCCTCAACAGCACCTGACTGTAGACTGTAGAGTGTAGACAGTAGGCTGACAGCGAAGTATACAGTGTATCTGTTTTTGCGTACCAGAAAAGAAAATCCTCGTTCACAGGCTGCAGTGGAGGGGCAGACATTTGAGGTAGCTGATCACGTAACGACCATGCCTGGCCTGGGGGCCGGGTTTACATGTTGCTGCGTGCATGTTGTGTACATGAATATGCACAGATTGTTCCATTCGCATTGTTTTTTTCATTCAAATCTGGTCGCAGCAAGGCAGCTTATGTCTGAGTAAAACAATGCAAGCGACGGGTGGAAACAGAAAAATATCATTATGTCTGGACATTTAATAAAAAAACTTGCCCTATTTTCAGCCCCCTGATTTCCTATTATAGTTCGTTTGTACCTTTTGACAACTTGAACAGGTGATTCAAGAGTCTCCTATAATTTGTTCAGAATAGCTTAGAATGCACCAAATTGCACCATTCTTTAAAAAAAATTACGGGGGAGCATGCCCCCGGACCCCCCTAGCAGGGCGATGACCTACGGTCCTCACATTGCTCGCTCCTCTGTTTGCTAATTAAAATTTCAGCTGAAAATTAAATTTTCCAATCTCATCCCTGTACTCTTCACTTTACAATGTCTTTAACGAGTTCAAGAACTTTCACTCAAGGAAAACTTGAGCAGTGTTCTTAATAGATGGGTGGACGTTCCCTCCAGGCCGTTCCGTCCACAAACATTCGACCGCGCAGATGCTGGCGACCACGAATGGTCGCTTGTTTGTCATGCGTCACGCGGCGGCGTTCTGATCGCGCCATACGGCAAGCAGCTCGTCGGGATCGTCATAGCCGTGCGACGCGATAACGTCGCGGTAGCCGTCGCGCGAGTACCGCTTCTTGTAGAAGTAGATGTTCGCGTCGTGCGTCGGCTCGACGCCCAGCTTCTTCGCGACGATGCCGAGGAAGATGTCGTCGAAGCGGAAGTGCTTCGTGTAGAGGGCGCCGTGGTACATGTCGACGGCGGTGGCGCGCGACAGCAGGAACGCACCAGCTGTCAGGTACGGCGGGTACATTGAGAACGCATACTCGTCGAGGGACACGTACCACCGGCTGCTGTGGTGCCGCATCGGCGCCGAGAAGAAGCGGTAGCCGACGAAGAGGGTGCCGCCGTCGCCGTCGTCGTGCGCCGCGAGCCGACGCAGCGCGTTGCGCGGCGACACGTACATGTCGTCGTCTGCGAACATGATGTAGCGCGTGCGGGCGCAGTGCTCGGCGACCCAGCGCAGCCCGGCGACCGTCTTCAGCGTGTTGTTGTAGTAGGCGTCGACGAACTCCTCCTGCACGACGTCGCCGTGCGCGGCGCTCTCGGCCGCGATGCGTCGCTGCAGCGCGTCGTCGCCCGGCCGCTCGCCGAGCAGGAAGACGGCGCGCGTCGCGCCGGCGGCGCCCTCTCGCGGCGCACCCCACGTTCGCCGGATTGCCGCGCGCCGCTCGGCGTTGTCGAGCGCCGACTTGACGAGGATGAGCAGGCGGAGGGAGTTGTTGCGGCACGCGTCGCTGTTCGATATTCGCACGCGGTAGTCGTGCGGGTTGATCGGCGGCCGCTGCTTCCATCGGTGATGCTCTCGCATCTCGGCGACGACGCTGCGCAGGTCTACGTCCAGCGGGTAGTGGAACTGTGCGTAGTCCACTTCGTACAGGTGAGTGAACACGCCGAAATAGAGCATGAGCAGACAGAGAGCACCGGCTAACAGAATGAAGAGAATTCTACGACGGGCCGCGTTTGACATGGCTTGTCTCGGCAGCATCGGCAGCTGATCAGTTCTCTGGTTCAGCCGACGGGACTTCGGACTCGGCATGAGACACGGGAAGGTGGTCAGCACATGGTCAGCATAGTGACCTAGAGAAGCGGTCACCGCAGCGTCCGTGCCGCGTGCACACCTAGGAACAGAAATAATAGCCCTGTTAGTGTACGGCATCGAAGAATCATTCCCGTGGCACAAACTTGACTTCACACTACAGAGGCATTTATCTTAATCTCTGTCCTATACTGGTAAGAAGTCACTACATAGTAAGTTTTCGATATGTTATATGTTTTACTTTTTTAAACAATTCATACACAGTCACACTTCATCTCATGCTCAAGAGCTTATCATCAGTGCCATCATCGCAAAGTCAACACTAAAAATATCAACGCAAAACTGAAGATTCGCTGACTGTCTGCTGCTACATACAAGGCTTTCAGACCCTGCGTGGCCACACTGAGCGACACAAGCACTGTCGGACGCGCACGCATACAGGTTTTTCGCACCCACATGGCAGAAGCGCGCGGCGCGATCATGAGACGTACGTGCGTGCGAGAAGTTCGTTCAAGTTACTATACTCGGTCGGCCGGCGGCGCTGCGCCCGCGCACGCTCTCAGCTCGCGGTCGGCCGCGTTCGTGATCTCGGCGACGTGCGCAAGCACGCAGTCCATCATGTCGAACATACGCAGGGCCGCGTTCAGCACATCCACCTCGCCGCCGCTGGGCTCTGCGAGTGCGCGACCCGTGACGGTGACCTCGACCTCCGGCCCCGCGCCGCGCCCCGCCGGCTCCTCCTCACGGCGGCGCCGCAGCTCGAGCTCGTAGTGCGCGCGCGACAGCGTGAGGCCCTCGCGCACGTGCCGCAGGTAGCCTTGCTCGATGCCCGGCAGCATGTTCCAGATGCCCGTCGCATTGTCGGCGCGTGAGTCACGCAGCAGCAGGAAGCGCAGGAGGTTCAGCGCGGCCATGACCTTGTCGGAGGCCTCCAGCAGGTCGGTGGTGGCGCCGTCCGGGGCAGCGAACACGGGCGCGAGAAGCCCCGCGAGCGACGCCTCGCTCGTGAACGCCGGGTGCCGCCGCGGCGACGCCAGCTGCCGTGCGATCTCGTCCTTCGCGAAGCCGATGTAGAGCGCCTGCGCGCCGGCGTGCTGAAGCTCGTTCAACATGCGCACGAACAAGTTGCGGCGCGCGGCGACCGCGAGCTTGCGCACGTACAGTCTCGTCGCCTCCAGGGCGCGCCGCCGCACGGCCGTCGTGCCGCCGTACACCATGACATCGACGAGCATCGGTGGCAGCGCGTGGCAGCCGTCCCGCTGTCCCGGCGCACACTCCATCGTCTCGTCGTCGACGCGCCGCAGCAGTGCAGCCAGCAGCTCCAGCGCCTTGCGCACGGCGAGGGAGTGCGTCTGCGTGAGCGCGGCGCGCAGGGCTGCCGCGTGCAGGTGCAGCACGTGCTCCGCGCGCAGCACGCACGGCAGCGCGTCCGCGCGCACGCCCCCGCACAACACGACGTAGAACAGGCAGCAGACACCGAGCGGCGGCACTCCACCCAGCTCGTCCTCATCCTCGTCCTCGTCGCCGGCGGCGACGGCAGCATCCTCCTCCGCCCATTCGTGAACGCGGTACGCGTCTGGCACGAGGTCAACGATGAGCCGCGCGGCCGCGACCGCACGCTCTCTTGTCGGCGACCCCTCCTCGAGGTCGAGAAACGCGAGCGGGCGCGCCATCACCTGCAGGAGCGCAGTCGCCAGGAGGCGTCGTGGTGCGGCGCCCGTCGCGCGCGCCGCCATCGCCGCGAGAAAGTCGAGCAGTTCGGCGAGGGCACCGTCGAGGCAGCGCACGGCGGGGTCGGCGTCGACCAGCGCCCTCTCGTCGTCGTCGAGCGCGTGGTCGGCGGGGACGGGCAGCGACGTGACGTGCCGGCACAGCGGCGGCAGCGCGAGGTCGAGGTAGCGGCGGCGGTCGAGCGGCAGCCGCAGCAGCGCGACGCGCAGCGCGGCGAGCAGCGCCGCGTAGCGACACTCGTGCGCGAAGCCGTCGGCCTGGCCGAGGATCGCGACGAGCATCTCCTTCGCGTTGCCGAGCAGCGCCACCTTCGCGAGCAGCTCGCGGCACACGTAGACGAACGCCGGGTACTGCTCGGCCGTCAGCTGCGTGAAGGCAGCGCACACGGCCGGCATTAGGTCCCACGCGGCTGCACCTAGCAGCTCAGAGTCATCCGTGCGTCTCACCTGCTCTAGTAGCGCCTGAGCGTCTTTCTTCGCTAGAAGCGTCGCCATCGTCGACTGATACGTCTGCGCCATCGTCGCCAACCAGCCGGGACGGACCTAAACGAACGATTTTTTGGCGATGAACGCTTCTATTTGCGGTGAATCAACAGCAGACACTCTTAAACATACTTGTGTGCAGCAGGAGTAGGGCTCTGGATTAAACTGCAAATTCAGATTTTTTTAAATTTGAGCTGATTTGTGCATAATTTGCATTTTTACAATATACAATGGGACAAATGAAAGAATAACAACAAGTCACAATAAATTGTTATCAGCCACGATTATTAGCGGAGTAACAATTTACTGATCGCAATACAGCGCCCCACGATACGATAATTAATACACAGCCAGACAGCGTACAAGCTTAACCTTTTTTGAGTCATGGACTCCTTTGAGAATCTGGTGAAAGCTACAGGCCCCTCCTCAGAAAAATGCACATAAGCAAATAAACACAGAATTTTGCATACAATGGGGTTCACGGACACCCTGAAGCCCACCCACGGACCCTTTTGGGGTCCATGGACCATAGGTTAAGAACCCTTGATCTAGAGCACACTCAGAACGTCTCGGTGTTTTAACCATGAAATATATATATATATATAGTAACCGATTGTTTACTATATATGAGTATTGCTTTGACATATTCATAATATATTTGTGTTATGAAAGTATTGGAATACATATTATAACAGTCAAATAACATTAGTATTCGACTATCAATGTCTACCGTCTTTTTCTGTCTGTGTATCGCGACACGTATCGTATCTACGTATCAAGAGACGTATCGTATTGTAACCCTAGTGTATCCTCACACCTCTTATGATTGCGATATCTCCCACTGCACTGATAATATCTCCTATTTCAATAAATTTCTGTCAAATATATTTGCATTTCAATTTCAGAATTTTTTCCAGGTAATGTTTTTGGAAATCCCCATTTCATTGACTAAATACCAAGTAATGAAGTATCATTAATGCCAATTATAAATCGCATAGATATTGCGGTTACTTTAATAAGAAATGACCGCACAATTGTTTTTGGTTGGTTTGCATTTGATAAACGGCCAAATCTGGAGACTGGGCAAGGCACAACCCTACCCTAGTTTAGATAGTTCTAGGGATAGCGTGGGTTCTAGCGATAGCTGTGCCTGTGGCGCCACTGCCACTGCCTCTGGGAGTGGGACAGAATAGGACTATGTTCAGGAGCCATGTTTCTGACCACTCACTTAATTTATCGAGGTCATGTCTGCAGAAGAATATTGTCTGTGATGTTTCTTACTATATTCCACATTTTTGTATCGTCTGCAAACATTTTCAACTTACAATTTACAAGGTCTGGTATATTGTTAACATAAATTAAAAACAGGATTGGACCAATGACTGATCCTTGAGGTAACCCGCTGTCGACGCTGCTCCACTCAATGAAATTCTCCGTGCACTGATACCCGCATCTTTCTATCTGTCAGGAAACTTTTCTTTTAGCTTACTTATGAGACGGCGGTGTGGAACCGTGTCGAAGGCCTTTTGGTAATCCAAAAATATTGTATCTATTGAAGCACCAGTCCAATGCTGATGTCCAGTCTTCGAACGTTTCTAGAAGATTTGTCAGGCAGCTTTTTCCTGCCGTGAACCCGTGCTGGTGAGGGGTGAAAAGGTCATTAATGTTTAAGTGCTCCACAATGTGATCTTTTACCAGGGATTCCATCACTTTACATGTTACACTTGTTAGTGCCACCGGTCTATAATTTCCTGCATTAGTCCTGCTTCCCAAGATTGGGGTGATTTCTGAGCATTTCCAGGCTGTTGGTACCTTGCCTTCTTGTAGCAACGATTAAAAAATTATGCTCAGCGGTTTAGCGAGACCCTCTGCACTCTTTGAGAAATTTTGGGTGGATTTTGTCTGGCCCTGGAGATTTGTCTGGTTTGACCATATCAAGTTTCTTTTTGATGCTCTCCGTGGTAAAGCGAATGTTTCTTATGGTGTGATAATTTTCAACTTTGTTGTCAAGTACTGGTATTCCTTCTTCTCCTTCTTGTATAAGAACTGTATAGAAAAAGTTGTGAGGCAATGATTCAGCATCTTTGTCCGAATTTGTAAGCGTTCCGACTTGTCTCTTTAGTTGAGTTACACCAACTTTCACTTTCTGCTGGTTGCGTTTGTAGGCATACATTTTTTTGGGACGTGTCTTGGAGGAGTCTACTAAATGTTTTTGTGGTCTCGTCTGGCATTCCTGCACATCTCTCCGGCCTTGTTTCTCTGCTTTGCATAGACTTCCTAGTCACGTCTTCTACCTAGGCTCAACCATCACTGGAAGATTTTTTACTGCCTTCTAAACTGCTTTCTTCATCCATGTTGGTTTTGAGCCTATATTGCGTGGGGCATATCTAGGTACAAATGTATTGCATAATTTGTCTACTGTGTTTACAAATTCGCTCCAAGATGATTCTACGTCATTGGCATTTAGAACTTTGGACCAATCTGTGGTTAGTAAATCGTGGTTGATACTGTTGTAATCCTCTTTCCAAACATTTAGACCTTTGCTAGTTCCATCCCTTTTCCCCGGTTCTAGATAGGTGAGTAAGGTCCAAGACAGACCAACATGGTCACTTTTCCCTAGCGGTCCTAGAGTGATCATGTTTTCCACCGTGCGTTCATCGTTGGTAAATACCAAGTCCAGCATGGATGTGAGCTTTCCATCGACTAAGCGTGTTGGTCCCGTCACATGTTGGCATAATAGCATGTCCTGTATTATGTCTAAGAATTTACAAGGGAAATTGGACTGTTCTCTGTCTGTGTAATACCTAAAAAAGTCTACATCTCTTAAATTGAAGTTGCCCATTATCAACAGATGCGTGTAGCTTTTTCATTGTTCACACTTGAGCTGGATGGCGTGCTATAGCATACCCCTATGAGTAAAGTTTCTCTGTTGGCCAAGTATACCTTGCACCATGTAGACTCGGTGAATTTTTCGTTATTTAGGGTCTCGCAGGGTGCTGCTCTTAACGAGTCGTGGATTAGTGGGGCTACTCCACCTCCTTCCTGTCCTTCCCGGTCCTTCCTGAATAGTGAATAGCCGTTTAGCTTTAGTGGACCATCAGGTACGCTTGTGTTTGCCAGGTGCCAGGTGATCTTGTGTTTGCCCAAGTTTCTGTCATGCCAATAATCTTTGGTTTCAGGTCCGTTGCCAGTACTTCCAGCTCATTTAGTTTATTAACGATACTACGTGCATTTGTATAGTAACATGTGACACAGTTAGCTTTGTTTAGTGCAATGCCGTATTTACATATGTTAAACCCGTCCCTGTTGTCTATATGGCCGTGTGAGGGGGTTGGGGGTCCAACACCTTTCTCTTTACAATTTGACCTCTTCTGATCATCAGGTCATACTCCTCTGGTCTCTCCTTATCCCCAGCTCCTGCCTCAGTGCTTGCCACCTGGCCCCTTTCCTGCAGGTCATGTCACGGCCTTTACATCACAGTCTTTCATTTGCTGCTGTTTTCAGTTTTTTGACACTGCGCCAGCCAGCCTTTTCTTTTCGGGTGTTCGCTTTTCAGAAATTACCTTGACTCCGTCTTGTCGATTTTCCCGAGCTGTCTACCTTCCCCAGTCTAATACCTTTCACTGCTTCGCAGTCTTCAACGTTGAGAACTGCTGTGAGCGCTGTCTTTACCTAGTCTCAAGTCATATCTACTTGACTGTCTCCCATGTTCTACGGGCTCCGGATAAGTCCGAAGACAACTCTACGTTCTGTTCTCGGCTCTGCTCTCTTTCTTCGGTTCTCTCTGAAATTCTTATTTTTCCTCTTATACTCGTTGTTGAATGCGTTTTGTCAATGTTCTTAGTCTGCATTAATCTTGTCACCTTGTCTTCCGTCCTTATATGATATATACTTATTCAAGGCTTTTCATTTTTACGGCGCGATCCGCTCGCGCTCACCGCGCACCAGAAATTGATGCATGGTGCGCGCATCATCGCGCCTCATAAAATTGGTTGAACATCGCAGCACCAAAAAGTAATGACCTATTCTGTTGAAATAGCTCATGAGTTCTCAATGTGGGGGGCGCCGCGCCGCGTCCGGGTCCCCGCCGCGGGCCCCAGGTACAAAAGGTTAGCACCC